CTTTGGACCTTTAAACCCCCTCGGGAACTAAAGAAAATGTATTCTTGTTGTTGATGGGGCAAGGAACGACAGCAGAGTTGGTCTTGGCTTTGTCTTTTCACAAGAAATTCACCTGTTCATAGAAAGTCACATCCACTGTGGCTGTGTAGCACCTTAGCTTTAGAGACAAGCCAATGCAATGGCAGAGGGGGTAGTTGTTTTACAAAAGAGCAGCAAGAAGTACCAAGACAGAACTGCAAGAATAAAATGAGGTCAGAGGAAAAATGTTCCACTTCTGGTGGAGCATGTAAAGGAATGTAGGTTGAAAGAAAAGGCCTGTATTTTTAACTTTCACTTGAAGGTTATTGAGTGTACGCTAATGTAAGCAGAGAGTCATGGTAGACCATAGAGCAGGTATCCCCAAAATCGGTCCTCGAGGGCCGCTGTCCTGCAGGTTTTAGAGGTTTTCTTGCTTTTTAATTTAAAGCTGATTTAAAGTCTTTTGCTAAACTGCAATTATCATAATCAGCTCTACTAAAGCAGGGAAATCTCTAAAACCTGCAGGACACTGCCATGGAAAAACGACTCATGAAGTTGGACCAGCTAGAAGAGCGAGGTGCGCGAGAACGCTGGAACCCTTTTTCCACCTGGATCCCCGCAACTTTTCACCCTCATGTCCCTCCGTTGTCACACAAACTTGCCCACACTTCCTCTCCGCCTCGGCCATATCTAGACCCACAGCTAGTTCGTGATTGTCCCTCTTGTGTTGTGGTGTGGAATAACATAGTGCAGACCACACTTCAATATTGGGCATAAATCAAAAACATCTGCGACAAGCTCACTGCGACACACTGCTGCAGGGAGTATAACCAGCCCTTAACCTTTTAACATCCACCTCATTTTGGGTAATCCTCGCATATTTTGCATACCCTAATGGAAAAGCAACTAACTTAGGAACTGTAAGCCCGAATTACATATGCAATACATTATTTGTAAGCTAACACCCTCTAGTTTCAGCAGTAATAAATACATTCTTGAGAAAAAGCAGGTGTATTGTTTTATATTTGTTCTCCATCATGTCAACCACAAATGCAGAAAATTTCAGACCTCTATAACAGCTCCAGAGCTGTGGGGCTTTGAACTTTTGGTGTCAGCTTGGAGCTGCGCTCTATGGCTCCACCTGCTGGTATAAATTTTAGCAGTGGAATTTTATGCATTCTGAGTTATTACCCTCACTTAAGGCGACCTGTTGGGTTTAAAGAGGCTAAATCACCAAGTGGCAGCTGCCTCTCATGTCGTGTTTTAGCCATTCGCAGCAGAGACAGAAGCTGGATCACATTCTTGATTTGTTCCACAAGTGCAGTGACGTCTTGCAGTTCATTGGTTCAAACCAAGTCTGTATTTGAGGCTGATGCATTGCATGCAGCTTCTGCCAATATGTATTTTCGGGAGTTTGTGAATTCATTTGGTGACAATTCATTTAGTCTGCAAGGTAACTTTATTCTCTCAGAAACACAAGGCTGGCCTTCTGTTTTTTTTTTTTTGCCATTTGAGTTTAATTTATGCCGCCTCATTCAGATTGTATAAGAATAAAAAAGTCTTCTAACCTTTCATTCAAACCCTAACAGTCAGGAGTAAAGCAAACTAAACTGCTAAGGTTGTAAACAGAGCACACCTGCTGGTAGAAAGGCTCACCATGTGGACCAGATGTACAGTAGTAGTCATTCAAAATGTCCCCACTTTCCTTCCTTTACTTGGCTGGTCCCCTACAATTCCTTTTTAAACATCAATATTTATACTAAAATATTTTTTTCAGTCATGATTTCTGGACATTAAGATCTACACTGAATTACAGTCCCTGTAATTCATTGAAAGGGTGGATATATGGAAGAGGGGGTGACTCCAGTGGCTGGGAGTTGGAGGGAAGTGGGCTGCCATTCGGCTGGCCGTTGACAGGGAAAGAACATTTTGAATGATTGTTACTAGGGGTGTAAATAATAATCGTTTTGTATCGATTCATTGATCCAACAGCCGATAATCCGAAGCATCGACACGTCCGCAAGAGTATCGATTCATTTATTTTTTTATTTTTATCCATTTGCTCCTGGATGTAAGTCTGACTGCGATGCTGCGGTGGCCCTAAACCTATTTTACCCTCCTACCTCGCTTTTTTTTAGCCACTATCCTGTTTACACTTGCAGTATTTTTTTGATTCAAGGCCTTTCAGAATCTATAATACAGAGGCATTATTATTTTTCAGTGAATGAGGTTTTCATAGGCCTACTGTAGGTGGAGTACAACTTTGCTACTTCTATTATTTGCTGTTGTTTCTCAAATAAAACCCATAACGATATTACAGCTTTCGTTGATTTCTTTCAAATTTGAAACATTGTCTAGCCTGTAAGGTAAAAAGAAAACCAATTATTTGAATCGTATCGTGGTGTATTCTTGAGTATCGAAAATAATCGAATCATTGGGTCAGGAAATTGATACTGAATCGAATCGCCATCGCTGTGATTTACACCCCTAGTTGCTGATGTAATACGCCTCTTTTTAGGTTTCCTGATTTAACACCCCTCATAAATTAACATATATTTTAAACAAAGGTTTGAAACTGTTTTTTCTTAGTTAGAAAACTCCATCTCAACATATTTTGTCCTTTTAATTTGTACAACAAATCAGTTTTTTTCCTTCACTTTTCTTATGGCAGTTTTAATGTAAACCTCTTTGAAAGAGGATTTGTGTGAGAGCCAAAAACCGCTCCATGACACGTACCAACACAGACCTCTACTTTCCCAGCAAGTTACTGGACTCTTTTCTTTTATTGCATGAATACAATGCCTCAGGCTCTCCTATGCTCCACCTTGTACAAACATTTGCTGTTGATCTTGTAAGTGGAGTTAGAAGGAGACGTTTCTCTCCCCTGCTTCACCAAACAGGCCCACTTTCCCTGCTGTGTGCTCTTCATCAGTCTTCTACATCTTATCCCTCTTGCTATTTCTTTACTGGTCCCTGGCCAAGTTCCCATCGTCTGCATTCCCCTTGCGTCGCGCGGGGTTGCTGTGGGGAGGCACCAGGAGAGGAGCGCTCATCCTGTTGTTCTGCTGTTGTCCTCCTGCTTCCACCCTGTGATCAGCAGCCAACCAGGAAGACATACAGCTTTAATAATAGCAATATTCTGATCTCATTAAGCAAAGTGTTGTCTGATATAACATTTACACACAGCAGAAAATGCATCAATTAAACCTAATGAAAGCAGAGAGAGACAGTAGCTGTCTTGTGGATTGTTCAGATAGTTTGTTGGATCCAGAATGCAGATTTTTTTAGCTTCTACCGTCTGAAGTGTTGCTTTTTCACAGACCTCTTTCACAAGTAGTGGTGCATGAATCTCTTCTCACTAAGGTTTGCTCTTCCTCTGATGCACCCAAATCGGAAAACTACTGTAAGTGGAAAATCACTGTTGCCTAAGGAGTGGCACCTTGGTGTTCATATGGTGCCTCTGCTGGTGCTGCCTTAATATAGCAACCATCTCAGCAACAAACAACATGGGAGCTGATCCGCTTGGATGCCACGTGGAATCTAAAGCACCAGGAAGTGTGTTAATCATGGAAGATTTAAAGAGCTCTGCAAAAAATAGTCATACCCCCTGAGCTTTTCAGCTTTTTGCGAATTTACAAATTTATACAGTCTTTAAAGATTGAAATCTGTAAAGTTTGCTGTACATTTGTGTTTAACCTTCCTCATCCTGATAACCCTGAATAGGATAAAGGGGTTAAATGTCTTTAGAAGTATCAACTCTTGCATCTCCCAAAAGATATTAACATCCCATTATGCCATTTAAAAAAAACTAAGACATATTTATGTCTTATCTTCAGATTTCTAATGGGTGCTTACATGTGAGGCTTCAGGTTTCGAAACAAACCTCCAAAACAATTTTTATTATCTCTAGTAAAAAGAATTATGCTAGTCCTCCATGGGAAAATTATTTTGGTAGGAAAAACTAATACATGTTTTCCAGCTGCGGTATTCCTACAGGTGGCAGCATCATACTGTGGGTTTACTTTTCTTCATGGGGAAAAGAAAAGATAACAGGAGTTGATGGAGCTCAATGTAATCAACCCAAGAAGAAAACTTGTCAGAGCTTCTAAAAGACTATATATTTCCAGAGGTTCATCATCTAGTGGAAAATCACCATAAAAATTCAGCTAGAGCCACAATCATAGTTTAAATCAGAGTTTGTTAGTGTTAAAATATGGGGGTATGTGGCAACATGTGAGGTAGGATCGTGGGAATGCAGACTTTCTGCATGTAACTGAAGTGTTTATTTGTTAGTTTAGTGTGTTTATAAATATCAGAGATTAGATCTGAGACTTCCTTGTCTGGCTAAGAGTAATTTTACAGGATGACCATTTCTACACTCATATACTTCAGAAAATAGGCTTAGAATATTACCACGGAACTAGAAAAGCTGACCGCTGTATTTCTGACAGCTTCACTGAAGCAAGAGCAAAGAAGATTAAACTTCTGAAAGCTTACCAAAAGATACTTAAGGTTTTGAAAGACTCCTTCATTCCTTCTTGATCAGGAAAATCTCCTGACATTTTAGCCCATGTGGAAACACTGCATTTCTTTATTTGTGAGAGTTTGTTTACTGCTGAGGAAAAACACAGAAAATTAAAGACGAGGTTGCCTCGATTTTGTGTTTAAATCTGTGGTGGCATAATGAGCCGTTTCCAACAGCAGAAGCATCAACTGATGTTAAAAATATAAATATTTGTGTTTAAAGACCCTGCAATCATGAAACTAAAAGGTTTGTTTAAAGTTTTGATTTTAGAGGATCATAAACTTTACATTGATGCTTTGTTTAAGCTGTCAAACAAAAAAATAATTATTTTAGTTACTCAGACTTATTTATTTGGTTATGGTATTTGGCAGAGTTCAGACTTTTATGTTGCCAAAGTTGAGCAATGAGGTGTCTTATTTACTGGTCACCATTAATAATCCGCCCTTTGTTTTTTCAGACCTAAACGTTTCCAGGCCTGAAGATGTCGAGGATCTGCTCTTTGGTTTTGGTGACATGTAAGTAAAAGATTGAATCATTTGATTTTAGCAGTTTTCCACAAAAAAAGGTTCTACTTAAGATATTTTTTATTACATGAATAATAATTAGTCAAGTGAAAAAGACCTTTCACACTCATCAACCCAGGTTAAAGATGCGATTAAATTAAACTTCTGTTCTGGTTGGATAATATCACTCTAACAAGATTTATTTTTTTTTATTTTCTCCAACTTAACAGGACGTTTATAGGACCTTCTCTTGCTTGTACTGTAAATCTTCCAGTTCTTATAAACCTTTTAATCTCCCTCTCACTTTAAATTAGACAATAAACAAAGTAAGTTAAGGCTCCTAGCTGTTACCTTGAAGCCAGTTCATGAAAATGAAGATCATTAGCTGCCTTCACTTAGTGGCTCGATGTCTTGTCTTTAACATTTTAAAGGTTTGGTATATTTAGAACCAAGAAAGCAGGATGTCCTGAATTTATTTTAAAAACACTCCAAGCCTTTATATAACTTGATAAAGTATGTTTTAAGAAACATTTTCTCTGTTTTATTTGATTAAAATTGTCCTAGTACTGTTAAAAGATTAGAATATGTTGTCTATGTTGACCTTTCTTCACTGAAGAGGTCAAATAAAGGTTGGGTTTTTCTAAATAGGTCAGTGTTATTTTTTCTTCTGAACTTTCCGATATCTTTAGGTACCCCTAAATCAGTATTGTGCTGTTGTAGATGTAAAAAAAAATCAACTGAATTGATTAGAGGACATCTGAGCAATCAGTTTGAATAGTTATGTTTTATTTCATTTAATTATTCTACTCTAGCAAAGTAAAAAGCAGTTTTTTTTCCATTTGTGTATTTTGACAAATACAAGAACAGAAAGTGCAAAAAAAATCTACTTTAATCGATTAATTCATTAATTCAGGAAATGAGGAATCAAAATATATTATTTACAAATCACAAAAGTTTGTCCTGTAGTAAAGTTTGCTGTTGTTTTTATCCTGCTGCTATGTTCATAACCTTGTGAGAACCTGGCCTATATCAGACATATTTCCACTGATATGTGGCTCAGCCGCAGCACACACTGCAGATGTTTCCCCTGCTGTTTGTGTAACAGTGTTAGAGGCTTGAGGTTGTGGTTCACCATGGTGATGTGTCTCTCTCTGTCTCCTCTTGCAGTTATGTCCCTGGTGCTTGTAAAGGCGGAGGCTGGTAATTATAGCACTGTGTTTTTTTATTCCTTTATTTCAATTTGTTGCCTTTCCATCATATAGGGCTTTTAGAATGTTCTCAAGGGTCAAAGGTCTCCCCATGTTTGCTCGTCAAACTGTTTACCCTAGGCTACATGTTTCCTCTTTAACTGTTTTTTTTATTTCTCCTCCAACAGAGGTGGATGATCCCTTTACATTTGGTAATCCACTGTTCTCTTCTCATTGTTGCAATAATAGATGATAACTTTCTAAGTTGTTTTAGTGCTTTGATTATAATTTATATGAAAATTAGTATATCAAATCAGTTCATTTAGCGAGTGTTTATTTGGCCTACTGTCTAATGAAATCGATGTTTGTTTATGCAGACTACCATAGACTGCGGGTCGGAGGCCTCATCCTGGCTGCTGTGCTCTGTCTCATTGGCATCACTATTCTGTTCAGTAAGACGCTCCTCTGTAAACATTCATAAACAGGCTTTGATATTGCTTAAACATTCAGCCGTCATAAAATGGGCCATGCTTCTTGTCTCTTGAAGGTGGCCACTGCAGATGCAAGTTCAACCAGAAGAGGTGAAGCTTTAGACACATAACTGTAAGAATAGAGAGGACATTTTTCTGGCTAAAACACTGATTGTATTTCTGTTTTCTCCTCTTTTCAGACCGAGGACAGGAAGCAATGCTCAGCAGATGCTCAACGACAAAGGTACTCATTAATACTCATCTGCAAATAGCTGCTTGTTTGCTAAGAGCTCATATTGATGATGTGAAGATATATAACCTACAAATAGTCCTCAGCTCTTATTATATTTAAATCTATATGTTTTGAGATGTATTCTAGTAGAAAAGAGATGTTTTTATGTACTAAATATATGGTCCTAAACATTTATTAACTTATGAGAACTACTGTATTACACATCTGGTTTTACATCACCTCATGTTCTCTTGTTTATAATTTAAAGTGAGTAGCAGAAAAAGGCCTCTATCTCCCTGTTTACCTATATCGTAGGAAGAAATCAGACTGATCATTTTAAGTTCTCTAATATATAGATTGACAACAAAAAGTATGTACAGGGAGAGAAAAAGTATTTGAGTCTTCTGATTTTTTCTTTATGTTCTAACCTACTAAGCTCACTTAAAGCAGCATTAATCAGTAATTCATTATTTTAGATAAAAACAAGTAAAAAAAAAAAATGAAAGGAAACAAAAGGAATCTTTTTTGAAGGCATCACACATAATCTCTCTGCAATGTTCTCCAGTTTATTTGTTTTTTTGCTTATCCCCTCACTGCTTGGATGCCATTGCTAGAGCAACATAATATAGGATAAATAGTAAGATTAAAATCTTCACAGCATTAGAAATTAATTAGTTATTTTTCAATCAAACCTGTTGTCTTAAATGCAAAGCTGTTTTCCTGAATCTTTCACTAAGAAAGATTATTCTTTATTCTAACTACATGCATTATTGGTTTCATTAAATAATTGCAAATAAATTATATGTTTAAAGAAATATCCCCTTGAGATTGTTATACTGAAAAAAAAAACATTATTTGTGGACAGTGAATATGAATTGAGCAAAACTTAAGGAAAAAGTATTACAAATTACAACTCCATCAAATATTTTTTTTTTTTTTAAGTAAACATCCTTTCTGGCATTCGTAAAATAAGGAAGAGTATTTATAGATTACTGGTGAATCAATAAAACACATGATTCCTGTAGATTATTCTGTATTTCATTTCCGGGTTAGTCTTGCTGATCATGTTCAAGTCTAATTTACTTTATCTATCTCTTTACTGTAAATAGCCTCATAAAGAGTCACATAAAGACTCAAATATTTGTACATCTATGCCAACATGAAATAGTCAGCGCTCACAGAGCTGGCCTGAGATGCCTTGCTGTTCAACAGGTGGTGGGACGCTGGGTGTCCATCAGGTGGAGGAGGGGTGCAGGGAGGAGACTGGGACTGTTGAAGGCAGCAGCTATAAAAAGACTCATTAGTTAACCACTTGGAGAGCAACCTGACTGAGCTTAACTGTTTTAGACCTAAAACTGCAGTAGAGCTTTTTTTTTTTTTTTTTTTTTTGACAAGAGCCACAAACTTCTCCCAAATTATATATAATATAAATATATATAAATATATATATAAATATCTTGATTTCTATTCTTTTTGTTTGTATAAAAAGCCAACATTAGTCAAATAAAGATACAAATATTTAAATAAAATGTATCTGCATACAGTAATTCTATTTAGCGGCAAACCCTAGTATGATCAGGTTGTGTTTTTGTGACGTGTTCTCATTTAGCATATAGAATAGAATTCAACTTAATTGTCATTATGGTGTCACAAGTATGAAGCAACCAAATGTAGTTTGCATTGATCCAGAAGTGCTATACAGGATATAAATATTGATTTACATGCGTGCAGAGACAGTGCATGGACTATATATGGTATATATATTCAGATAGTCATTGTAAGAGGCTATAAAATGAATAAATATGGGGGGAAAATACAGTTTATACAGGGAAGTTAGTGGATTATTTATATATTAGTGGGGTTATAATATAGGATAAATAATGACAGATAATAGCAGATAAAAGATGGAAAAAGTACAGCTGCTACACAAACTCCTACCAAACATTGATATATCCTTCCATAATGTATACCGGTGTTGAACACAGTCTCTAAACTGCCATTGAGGTTGGAAATCTTTGCAGTGATTGCAGCTTTGCTGTAGACGAAATACATTAGAGACCCGTATGGAAAACAAACAACTGTGTCAGTAACTCTACAGGGTCCTGCAGACATACACTGGAACCATAGTTTCCACTTTCATTAGAACACATCTGCCTCCTCTGTGATATTACCTGATTCCTTTTTCATGGAAGTCAGTTTTAGAGTCAGTTTTAATTAATTTTGGACTGAAGAATAAATATGAAATAGTGACGTATGTAAAAATTATTCTGGAATGTTTAATGTCTCTGGTCTCTAACTCCTCCCTCCATGTTTTTTTTGCAGGGCGCGCCTGTGAATGCTAGATAACATTAACACGACGGGTTCCAGAACATCCAGCCAACAGAAAACCATAGAGGATCAGCCGTGGGATTTATAAGACCAAACCCAGTCTTTGCTGTTATTTAGAGAAATCAACAGAAAGTAGTCGGTGTTCACCAGATTGTAGGTGTGAAGCCCCCCTGCCTGACAACTGAGCTACTGATCTGCAGCCTGCCTCTATATCACTCTCAGACATTTTGTACATAAAACTGCGTCACTTTCATTTCACTCAGATGGACTCCTTGTTTTTGAGGAAGTGATTTTCCTGGAATCATCTCATAGACTCAGAGGTCTGTGAATTCTTCCAAAACGAGAATAAAATGCTTCATAATTCATTGCGTTTTGCCAGACCTGACTGACTGAAATGAAAGTGACTTTGATGATAATTCAAACGCATCACCAGAAAATTATCCTAGAGCTTAACATAAACTGTAGGCTTTGTGTCATCACTTCTGTCATATATGCTGTATGTGTGAGGTAAACAATAATGTAGACATTAGTCACAATCCTAACCTAATCTGTGTTTAATGTCAAATCTATGAAATGAGTGTTCTTTTTCCATGCTTTGCTTCATGGAGGAGTGTAGTGCATTGTACTGTTAAATGAGTCCTGTTTCTATAAAATAACAGTAAAACAAACATGACTGGACTTTTTTTTATGCAGTAATTCGGTATGGTGTGAAAATAATGTAGTTAAATGTAGGGAGAGCAGGATCCTGCAGGACACACAGTGGCCACAAGAGGGAGCTAAACCAAACTGAGTGGAATTTTTTTTTTTTATGCAGTAATTCGGTATGATGTGAAAATAATGTAGTTAAATGCAGGGAGAGCAGGATCCTGCAGGACACACAGTGGCCA